CAAGTTAGTCTCATCTGTTGTGAAACTTAGCAGAAGACTGAGAATTTTAATTAAGATTCAAACTACAACTATCATGCCTGTCTTATAGTTAAGTTGTTCCTGTAACTTACTATCATAAAAAGCTACCCCCAAAGCCTAACAGCTATTCACGGTTGCCCTTCATGATCCTGGGAGGGGATGGGCTCAGCTGGGTGTTCTCACTTGGGGTCTCTCATTTGATACAGACAGACTGAAACTGGATTCTCGAGTTCTCTGCAGGATTAACTCACGTGCCCAGCAACGGCACTGGGAAACACAGTGGCTTCCTGCTCACCCGTCCTGTCCCCAAGCAGCCTCTCTATATGGCTAGGCTAGGACAAAAAATGTGCCAGTTGAAAACAGCATGGTGGTCTCAAGGTAGTCTAGCTGTTGTGTCGTCTCAGGGTTCTCTGAAGAAGGCACATCCAAAGAGAGCCAATGAGGCTGCAAGACTGCTTGCAACTTGGAAGCAGGTTGGTATGCTTCTGTCCTGTTCTGTTGGTCAAGGGCTGGTCATGGGCAGCCAAGATTAGATAAGGCAGTGAAATGGGTGCTGCTTGTCAGTGGGGAATGGCCCATCCATGTGGGGAGGGAAACAGCTTACAGATAAACTGCCATTCCTTCCTCCCGTTTCCCTCTAGAACATTAAGTACAGCACTGAGGATGAAAGGGGCAGAGCCTGACCTGACTCTCCTAGATGAGCGTCTGAAATATCTTGTGACATTTATGCATTTGTATTTTATGTCTCGCCTGCAGGTACGTCTGTGCACCATATGCATGCAGCGCCCAAGAAGGCCGGAAGAAGGTGTCAGATCCCTTGAGACTGGAGTGACCGAGGGTTGTGAGCTGCCCTGTGGGTGCTGGGAATTGAACCCAAGCCCTCTGCAAGAGCATCCAGGCCTCTTAACCACTGAGTAGTCTCTCTAACCCCTAGGGGTATTAAATTTTAAACATCATTATTCTACAAATAAAATTCATTCATTTTTCCAAATAAGCATATAAACTTAAGCAAATAAAAAAAATTTAAAAAATGAATCACTGTCGTCCTGGGCTGGAACAGTGAAGTTTCTGTTTACTTGACCGGGAGTCTGCAGACACAGCTGTTTAGTTTTCTCCCCGTTGGCTGGCAACTCAGCTCAGGAAAGCTCTCAGTGTTGCTCAAGTGGAGAGCGGGGGAGCCAGACCCCAGATGTCACAGCAGACATAGGGGCTCAGATACTGAGTGGGTTGGATAGATAAATGATTTGAGCAGATGCCACATTGAAGTCAAGAAGGGGAGCAACTGCCGTCCTATTTGCTATGGTGATTGACAGTCACAATGGGGCAGCCTGCACTGAGACTCATCCCACGGACACTGACGTCAATGATGATAGCTAACCAGATACGGAATGTTACACTGTGTCCCCAAGTTTACAGAATGAAGGTGGAACGTTCCACTCCACCACCATTTCTCCTGATCTTCAAGGGCCTGTGGCCTTGTTCCCATCCCCTGATATCAAAATGAGCAAGAATGAACAGCAATCCGGCCTCACTCAGTTCTGTGTGTCAAACAGCCCAAATGTCCAGGCTTCCATAGCTTAAAATAACAAAATAAAGTTATAGTCCTTTCTAATTAACATTTTTAAAAGACTTATTTACTTCCATTTTATGTTCATGAATGGTTTTCTTGCACCTATATGTACTACATGCCTGATGCCCATAGAAGCCAGAACAGAGTGTGTCAGATCCCGTGGAACTGAAGTTACAGATGGTTGTGAGCCACTATGTGGTTTCTGGGAATTGAACCCAGGTCCTCTGGAAGAGCAGCCAGTGCTCCACACCTCTGAGCATCTCTCCAGCCCACAGTTAGAATTCTTTAGGATGTAGAAGCTATGAAACTTCAGTCCCACCTACGTTGTCCTGTGAGCTGTGGCAGGTGGTGGGGTGTCTACTCCTGCTACCCTTCCCAGTTCCCCCACTGTCCCCTCCTCCTGATACCCTCACTTCCCCTCCCACCTGCTCCTCAGAGAGGGTAAGGCCTCCCATAGGAAGTCTACTAAGTCTGTCCCATCATCTCATTGAGGCAGGACCAAGGCACCTCTCCATGCCCCACACCCCTGTGTCTAAGCTGAGCAAGGTATCTCTCCATATAGCATGGGCTCCACTAAGTCAGTTTGTGCATTAGAGTTAGATCTTGGACCCACTGCCAGTGGCCTCATACATTGTCCCAGTCACACCATTGTCACCTATATTAAGGGAGTCTGGTTCAGTCTTATGCAGGTTCCCCATTTGTCAGACCTGAGTCAGTGATCTCTCAGTAGCTCGGGTCAGCTGATCCTGTGGGTTTCCCCATCACGGTCTTGGCTCCTTTGTTCATATTATCTCTCCTCACTCACGTCAATTGTACTCCAGGAGCTTGGCCCATTGGTTAGTTGTGGATTTCTGCATCTGCTTCCATCTGTTTCTGGAAGAGGGTTCTAGCTTCTCTGGGGTTGTGGATTGTAGGCTGGGTAGCTTTTGCTTTGTGTCTGGTATCCCCTTATGAGTGAGTACATACTATATTTGTCTTTCTGGTTCTGGGTTACCTCACTCAGGATGGTTTTTTCTAGTTCTGTCCATTTGCCTCCAAATTTTAGGATGTCATTGTTTTTTACCGCTGAGTAGTACTCCATTGTGTAAATGTACCACGTTTTCTTTATCCATTCTTCAGTTGAGGGGCATCTAAGTTGTTTCTAGGATCTGGCTATTACAAATGATGTGTGTGAAAAAGGTCCACACATTTGCCAGGCGTGACACTATTCATGAGTCTCCATCTCTGTCCCAGAGCACATGAGACAGCTGTCAAATTTCTGAGCCTTTTTCTCCTTCCTCTGACTGACTAACATAGAAGATCTGTGTTGCCATGGAGAGCCTGAAGTGTTCTGGAGAGATTAGGAGCCTGGCTACAGAAAGACAAACTCCTTTCATGGGGGAACCTGCAGATCTGGTCTTGTGTCTATCCAAGCATACGGCTGGGTCACATAGGCTTATTTCCCAGGAACACTTGCTCCAGGCTTCCCCAGGTCTTTCTTGTTTGTTTAGCAGTATAGCTCAATGTTATGTCTAGCTCCTGCCAGCCTGAGTCCTAGATACAAGTCCTTCTTAAAGCAAAAGAGAAGCTAAATAAGTTCCACTTATTAAATAAAGTCTGATTGTCATACCTCAGATCTCTCTGTTG